AACAGCATGAAGAAGTTCTCTTTGAAATGTTGCTGTGAGAAGCCTGGGATTTTTTCAGCTACTGTGGTTAGAAGACAAATTTGAGATGCCTGTACTTTACCTGAGGATTTGAATATTCTGCTACATTAAACTTAAATGTGATGACTAATAATAAAGTGTGCTGGCTTGCAGCTCCTTGAAGCCCCATCGATTGTCTCTCTGTGGTGAGGCCAGACCTTCAGGTTGGAAACCTCTGGACTAAACAAAAAGTACAGCTCACCGTCGAGCAGCTACGACAGTACACAACAGTGCTCACCCACTGATACAATACAGTATTAACTAATAATGTCAAATATAATGAGTCACAAGGGTCATTTTACTGAGCACGAGTACTTTTATTGTTGATTGTTTAAATACATTTTAATGATAAAACCTCTGTATTTCTACCTACTGTAACTAGGATTTCAATTGGAGGGTTTTTACTTGTAGTGGAGTATTTTTACACTGGTGTACTGGTTCTTTAGTGAAATAAAACATCTGGATATGTCTTCCACTGCTGGTCTCCTAAAAGTAACACTAGACAACCTGAGGATATGGGTGATGTCAAACCTGATTGACGTATGCACCCCAACAGTTAATAGGCTGATGCCAAAAGCGATCGAGACTGACTCACTCCTTCACCTTTCTTCAGCTATTCTGCCTTTGACCCCTCTCGCTCCACACCTCCTCCCCCTCACCTGTCGCTCCATGCCCCGGTCCACTCCGTCTGTCCCCAGGGGTTCCTCAGGCGGATCATGGTGAGTTTGTCTGACTTAAGGTAGGCCAGGAGGCCGTGGCCCAGCCTCACCTTGCGGACATCCGTCACCGCGTAGGCATGACCTTTCACCAGGCCACAATCCAGCTTGGCCTCCATTTCCTCTATACTGGTTGCCTGGAAGAGCACTGGATCAGTCAGTCCAAAAAAACCTAAATCAAGTCATTTAATCGTTCAGTCGCTGTGTGTTTGTCTGTCTCCTCCTCACCCGGATTGAGCCACTGATGAGGCCTCCTCTCTGGTGGACTTTCAGGACTTTCTCAAACAGCTCACTGCGTTTATCTTCATCTTCTTTGAGCCCGTTCGCTGTTAAGTCTATTGACTGCGACACGCCCCCGGTGAAATCCACCAGAGCGTCGGCCGTGTTGCCCCCGTCCAGTGCCTCATAGCACCCATGCATCCTAGCAAGCACACAGTCAATCATTAACACTTACTGTACTCGGTTATTCAGGCACATTTGTTCCTGTAACTGTATCAAATTTACAGAAAATAATCCCGTAAAACAATCAAACCAGTCGACATTAACGCGTAAGTAATAATAAATGTGTTAGGGATTTGCTTGTTATCTGCAGCTGATTCCAAATCAACCATTTAAATTAAATCCAAACATTTTCTGCTGCTTATCCAGAGTCAGGTTGCAGATAAGGAACATACATGAGAGAGTCAGAATATTAGGAACACCTCTGAATATAATGAAGTCCAGTACAACACCACTTTTAACTATGACCTCAATAATAAACGTATAATTAAATGTATACATTTATGATAATTTCACCAAAAACTGAAACATTTTGAGCTTGAATGCAGAAGTGTTGCAGTGAAGTGCATACAACTGTACAGGTGTACCTAATAAAGTGGCCATTGAGTGTAAATATCACTGATGTGAAACATTGCTAAATGCTCTATTATGCAGAAAGTTACTGAGTACATTTATGCAAATACTATAATTAGGTACAGTTGTGATGCATCTGTATTTTACCATTTTCTGCTACTTCACACTGACTTCATCACATTTCTCAGACAGGACCAAGTTCCTCTGCAGCCACAGAGGACGCTGACCTGAGCGGACACAAACGCTCATGGTGGAGGTACTCACTTGGCGTAGGCCTTCTCCAGCAGGGCGCACCAGAACTCATTTTTGTCATTAGAGTGGCAGTACACCAGCTGTCCGTTCAGTGAGGGGAGCCGGTCATCGATCACCACGTCCACCCAGTCACCAAAACGCCAGAACCGGAAGTGGAAGATCCCAGCGTAAGACCCTGGGTTGATTTTATCCCACTCCTGGCTCCTCCAGTCAGGAATCACCTGGAAAAACAGCAAGAACACATGTCACCATCTTGTCAAAGCTCATGGTTTATTTCAACTATGAAGCCAGAGATTGTTTGCTCATCTGTAATCTGGGAGGGGGGTGCAGCACATCATCTTGGGCCCCATGTTTTCCAGCCTTGTTCCCTATTTACTGCCACTTTATTGCCACTGGAAATAACTACATCAACAAGTAAATGTGTAGCTGCAAAAATCATATTAACACAGAACATAACGTTCAATAAAAGCTCAGTCTTAGTTCAACTGCCGAAGATTTATTTGCATCAGGCTGTACGTGACTGTGACAACTTTATGAGCTTAAAAGGAAGCAGCGGACAAACTCCCTGTGGCTGTTTTTGAAGCTAAACCATGAGAACATCGATAAATACACAACATAAATAGGCAAATACAACTGTTGTACACTACAGAGGAGCACAAAGATACAGCTGCCTTTTTGTTAGTTCCTGAAAGTTGAAAAACATCAGGTTTTCCACTTTTTCCCCTTAAGCTTCAGCAAGTTACAGTGGATTTACATTGTTTTCAATGAGGGAATACGTTCCGCTCGCATCCTGCACTCAGAGATCCCAAATGACAACACATTAACACAGACGTCCACACACAGTCCTCAGTGTAGTGAGTGATATAAATATACAACTAATCCACTGAGCCAAGACCAGTCGAGCTCCCAGAAGCCCTCAGGAAACTCCCAGAGTTCCCTGCTGGACGTCATCAGCGGCTCCTGTTGCCTAGCACCCTCTCACACCACCCACCTGACTTTAGAAGAGTATTTTCATTTGGTATTCAGACATGTCAAACTAAATTATTCTGCTGTGTGCAGAGATGTGGCAGGATTTTATTCCCCGTGAAAGTGCAAATTGCAAATTGTGTACACATTAGGAAAAGGAGTTTACAATATGTTTGTTTGTTTTTGCAGCGTGGTGCAGAGATATCGTGTATCAGCCTTTAAAGGACTGAAACAAGCTTAGCAGGGTTGAACACTCAAAAACTGATCTCATCTCCTAATGCTCTCCCCCACCCCCTCTCCATTTATGTGGCTTGCCAATCCATGTGCCCTATCCAAACTACCCTGGGGGGTGCAAAAGTGCTACAGTGCTACGTAGTGCTGGAAATAGTTTTGGGGGGTTTTTTGGGGGGGGGGAAGAGAGAGAGACAGAGACAGAGAGATAGAAAGAGGAAATCAGAAGCTCCACTGCAGCTCTATCCATCACAACACCCATCCACCCAGACAGGCCTTGCCCTCTCTCTCACCCAGGAGCACTGCCTCAAAGTCGGACATGGACAAGGGCCCAGCTCCCTCCAACGCCATCGTGCTGCCATTCAAAGAAGACACTGCGCTGACAGAGGTGAGGCTCTCGATTTAATAGGACATCTTCTCATCTGCAGCTACATGACATGTTATCACAGTATGTGTGTGTGAAAGCTGTTTTTTCTTCTTTACAAACTGGACTTAAACTGGAGTTCATTCCCAGACTGGAGGGTTTGTGTATCAGTAAAATATATTCACTGAAGTTCTGAGTGCTGATGAAATGCTCAATCTAATGTTAAACATACTCCTATAAAAGTACTATTAGATTGTAACTATGAACTATAGCTTGCCGACCACAGCGTGGCCTGATTTTTATTAAAATTATCTTCTATTCTAATGCAGTTCATAATGGTCACTATCACAATATTTGCCGTTATATACCATTTTCTCCACGTGGTCCCCGGTTTAACTTAAACCTGTGATCAAGGATATTTTATGGCTATTTTTCTCTGTTCTCTGGTGTTTCAGAGACCAAAACAGCTATTCTTAAAAAAAATAAATAAAAATCATATTAATACAAAAAAAGATCATTTTCTGCTGCCCTGATGTGATTTAATCACATTTTCATTTGCTGCTGATTGTTGATTTTTGTGTGCATAGGAATCTGACAACACTTTGATTAATTAAACCTGTGCACTGTAAAAGCTGATGGTTGCCTTGTGCATCCTGTTTCTCCTGTTAAGCTTCAGTTAGATTAGTCCTAAATAAGATCGATTGTACAATGTCGGTTTGAGGTTGTCGGATTGATTTTTGTGTGGGGAACAGAAGGAAAACGCTCCTGAGACACATGAGCTGCAGGTCGAAGCAGCCACGCTGAGAACTTGGTCCTGAATTTCTAACATGGTCTGAATTTTTTAGCCCGAGCTCCAAACAGGCCGTCGGTGGAAAAATAGTCCTTCTACCCATCTTCTCCAACCCTTCTCAACTCGCATTTCATCCGTCTCTTCCTCTGTTATTTTGTGTCCACTGCAGCAGATGCGCCTTCGTGTGTCGTTCTTGCAGCGGTCGGGGCAGAAGCGTCAGGACGGCGAGCGCCTGATCCTTCCTCATGAGGCTGTGTATCGGCTGGACTTTGACATCCAGGAGCTGAACTTCTCTCGCTGGTACGTCTCCCTCTCTGGCTACGGCCGCGTCACCATCACCGGTACTTCCCAGCACTGGACCCCTGACCTCACCAATCTGATGACTCGTCAGCTACTGGAACCGATTGGAACGTTTTGGCGTAACACCGGCGACCCGGAAGACTCACCACTCAAATGCCTGGAGGCGGACATGGAGGAGTTCGGCGAAAGAATTGCTGAGCTGGCCAAGGTCAGGAAGGTCATGTACTTCCTGTTTGCTTTCAAGGACGGGGCAGAAGCAGCAAATTTCAGCTGCTGGGTGGAGTTCACCCCAGGGAAATGATTTGTCACTTGTTGCAAGTGGAAATCTGTTAGAATAGGAAAAGCACCTCATTATTTCATTTGTTCTGTTCAGTCTCTAACCCTTATACCTAAACCTGACCTTAAAAAATCCACACAACAGAAAACGCTTCAGCTCCTTCAGTGAAATACACCAACATAGATGTTAAATTCTTTCTTCATTTCTGAGCCTCACCGATTAAGCTGGAATTGTGCAGCAACAACATTGTTGTTCTGTGGTTTTGTGCACGACTTATTAAAGTTGCTACAGTTCATTGTGCGTTTAGTTTTAACGTCACCCCGAGAGCCAAGTCCCAATTTTATAAGCACAAACAAGTTTGAAAGGAAGTTTGCTTCTCTAAAAATCTGATATTTGGGTGAAGAGATGACAATGAATGTATTTTATTTAAACTTAAAGGGGAAACAAATCCTCTTTTACACTTTCACACTTCCTGGTGCTACTTAAACGACATATTATCAACATAAATCATCAATTTAAAAATATTTAAATGCATGAACATTCACAAAACCTTCTTTGCCCAATATTATTTAATGATATTCATAACTTCATTTTTTTTTTGAAATCTCAAACAAATAATTTACCTTTGAATAGAAAACTCATGAAGACACAAACTAACAAAAGATTCCTGTGGTGTGTAATAAGTGAGTTGTTACCATCTTCACTGTTGTTGTATTTAGTTCCTGGGTTGTTTTATTGCTCACAGGAGCAACAGCTAGAGGCAAAACAAGTAGCGATGAAAAGAGCATCAGATATTCACACTGAGTTTGACACAGAACAGAAATCTATTAAACATCGAGTCAAAGCTGTCTGTGTCTCATTGGTACTGGTGTTACCGGACAGAGGAGGGAGGGAGGGGACAAAAAGAGAGGATGGGGGAGAAGGACGGAAGGAAACAAGAGGAGAGGAATCAAGTCAGGTTCATAAATAGAGCCCAGAAACAAATAAATGAATAAATAAAGTTTTAAATGAGATGCTATAGGTTATATTTACAGCATCTCATTTAAAATGTCATAAACAGGTTAAAGTAAAACCCACAATAAATGGAAACTGGATCACTTCTTATTTTCAGTACAACACTTTTACAGAAAGAAGCACCACAAAAAGCAGACAGACAATTTGCTCTGTAGTAAATAGAGTAGCATGTTTTTACAAGTAATACTAAACATTACTTATGAATGTACTTATACTTGTATACAAGACATTAGATTGAGAATACCTCTACAACACTGCCAAGAACAAAAACACATTTAAAATGTCAACACTTTAACCATTTAACCCTCTTTATCCCACAGCGTCGTCTCTCCATAACAAAATGCTGTAATAATTGTCGTCAAACTGCCTGTATAATTTACATTAATACCCCCTAGTGTTTCAGACGCGGTGTTTGTTTTTGGACCACTGATGGGTGTCAAGACAACTGGTTGCTCCACTGAGCCAACGACACCTAAAACAGGCTTTAGTTTCCTTTCAGCTGATGCAAAATGGAGAGCTGCAGAGGGCCTCGGAGACCAGACAGGAGGAGGAATGAGGTAACCGAGTGGAAAGAACACAGAGGACGCACACAATGCACAAGTGTACACACACACACACACACAAACCATGACTCCAAAACCACATTCTTATCATGTGTATCACGTGTAGATCCAACTGGCTAAAAGGCCCCGAGGTCGAAAAAGGTTTGTTTACTCCTGGACCCGTTTCCTCATTGTGATTTACTCAGTCCAATACTGTCAAACCTCCAGTAATCTCTTAATGGTAACTTATACTATACTATATAAATAATGCTTGAGAAGGTTTTATGCTGTTTTAGTGCCTTAGTACTACAACACATGGCGTCAGGCTACCCAACATTGAGTTCATGACATGATTAGAGAGTTTTCCAACGCCGTGTTTGCCGATCACAGAGGCATCTGATCGGCCCTACATTCATTCTGCAGCATGACAGTGAGGTCAAACATCCAGCCAGAGTCACACACAACTATGTTCAGAGTCAACATGCCACCTGCCTGACCCCCAGAGAGGGAGAGTGGAACATGTTAGAGGATACTGGCGCCACCTTGTGGCGGAAAGATGTTGCTTCCTGTTGCTGCAACCTCCAGGTTAAGTCCTTTACTAGACAGACATATGCAAAGAGCTTTAGTTTGTAATAAAACTTTAATTTAGAAAGCTGTATCAAGTCTCGTTGTTAAGAATCCGTGAGTCCAATAACATTACTCACTTGCCAAAGACTAATTTTGTGATAACAACCATTTCAGAGCAAACTGTGCCAACTATGAGCTCTGACTCCACCCATCATGAGTAAGAATGTCAATTCAGCTGTTACAACACATCATTATGGTAGTTACAGTGCAGATTAAGTGTGTTACTGATGTTACTGATGTGTTTTTATACTGTAATTGCAGAAGCCACACAGGTGCGTGTGGAAAAGGATCTCCTAGTCTATTCTAAATCTCTTGGTCTACAAGAAGTGCCACAGTGCACACATTGATCTAAAATAAACACACACCCAGTCACACAAATCTGACAAGAGTATATTTGCATGCACATTTTCCCACACCCATTAACACACACTGTATATGTGCATGCAGCCTGCTCTAGTGGAGGGCTGGTTTTTCCGTCCATGGCTCCTTCTGTGCATGTTCAAGTGTCCTTGAGCTACACACTGAACAACTGCTCCCACTGAGCAGGCACCGACCTTGCTTGGTAGCTCGTTGCTCTCAGCATGTGTGTGTGTGTGTGTGTGTGAGAATAAGAAATAAATTGTAAAGCGCTTTGAAAAAAGTTGTGTAGGTGCCACACTAATGCAGTCCACTCACCACACCCCCTCACATAGGCACACTCCACTCAGTTACAGCCCAGCACTGACAGCGATGAATAAAATAACTGTCTGATTTTGTGCGTTCCTGATGTAAACAGTGCATACGGTGTGTGCCGGGCAGACCCTGGGAAAAACAGTGTTTGCTTTGATGATGCTGAAATTGCAAAACCAACCCCACAAGGGCAACAAACAAACCAAACACATGGATACCATCTCACCTTATGCCATAGTGGTTCTCTGGAGGCCAAACTGGAGCAGGCGGCTATAAACCAGCAGTTTCCCAGATGCCCCTGGTGCAGGTCGCGGGCACTGATGCCGTGCACAAACAGATGGGGGTCACTGTGTATCTCCTAGAAAGATGAAGATGACGCCATCAGTGTTTTATCTTTCAAATGATTGGTAGACTTATGAATGAGAGTCTGATCTGGTGTGGTCCATTAAAAGATTGTCAACACAGATCAAACTAAGTTTTCCCGGCTACACCGACAGCAACAAACAGCCAACACTTCAGAGCCTACGAGCCTGACTAACATTAGTCCAAGGATGTGGCCACACTGAACAGCTGCCAGGTGTGGATTAATGCACAGCAGGGTGTAGCCAGTGCACCCAGTCAACCACCATAAAGGTAAATACATGGCACAACACCCTCTGACCAGGTCGAAATCGCTTCTGAAAGCAAGACAAGCCACAGAGTGTACAAAACTAACAGGACAACGGCCAAATGATAAGGCAGGGATAAATCAGACGTGCACACACCCAGCAAGACTACAAACTGTGCAGGAGGTTGTTTTATGTAATGATTAAAACTAAAGGGCCCTTTGACTGGTTATGGTGAAATATTACATTTTATTTTTAGGGGGAAAAAAGTAGTTTTAAGTCTCAGTCTAAAGACAAACTGACCAATGAATTTCAAATGCCACGTTTTTAGGTTTACACACACACACACACACACACACACACACATACAGTAGTTCTCTTTTGTTCAACTACATAAAAGACACACAGACACGCACATTCACACAGAGCAGGTTTATCCTGGCTGGTTCCTCCTTTCCACCTCATCTTCATCCTCATCTTTTCTTCCTTAGACATACGCTCAAACAATGTTGGTGCATGTGCAACACTGAAATTAAATTTAATGTAGGTGAAGCTGATATAAAGTGGATAAAGTATTTATATTCACTGAAAATACTACGGCATGTCTCTCACAACTAATGTCTTCAGGTTAGATGCTAACCACCTAATCTCCCTTAGACCTTTGTGCATTAACTGTATTACACAACGGCGTGACCACAGCAGCCTGCATGTTGACATACAGCAGCATCAGGCTGTCACATGCCAGCCATCTCTCCCATAATCACTCCAAGATGCAAAAGTGAAGCCAAATTATCAGCTGCCATCTTGGCAGGATCCAGTACAACCAGAGAAATGCTGTTTTCTTCTTGCCAAAAAGTGACCGCAGCCATTGTCTTCATCCTTAGACTGGTCCTCTGCTTCATCATTACCTGTATTCAGTTTTAAGGGTTATATATATATATCAAACTTTAACAATACAGCACAGCCAGAAAGGCACTTTTCCTCCTTGACAAAAAGTGATTAAAGCTCATGTTCATTTATTATGAAAGGGGTTTTCTGCCCCAGATGTTCTGTATTCACTAAAGAAAGAACAGAATTTAGTCGTTTAAATCACAATGGGTCACAAGATCAGGGATGTAACATGGGGTACGCATATGAGCCAAAGCTGAGAGACTCTGGTCAAGAATTTTTATGTTATACGTTTGTTAGGAAACAAACGATCAGCAGATTTCCTGTTACTACACCCTGATACACCAGTACTGTCCTTAGCGTTGAAAGTCCAGTATCAGCACACATCTGAAAGCTAATGCCAAAGCCTCGGCTGTAAATCTAAAGCTGTTTGTGCACGTTTGTAGCTTTACACAGAGGATGAAGTGGAGCAGAGAGATGTGCTGACCTACACGGCTGATCCGTGCAGCTCTATGTCTGGTTCTGGCAGCTGAGCCTGAGGTTCCACTAGTAACACAGGTGAAACAACACTGTTTCCTCTCTCTCCACTCCCTGGACAAATCAATAATACTGATCGATTGGAGTGCTTTAAGTTACTTGTCTAATTATGTAGCCGCTCAGCTTATCAATAATTGACCATAAATGCATATAAGTGTACATACAGTTCAGGCTGGAGCTGTTTCATCCTGTATATTCTCAGTTGTGGAACAGAAAATTATTCAAATTCTTTAAGTTTTTACTTATTCAGGAAATCTCACCGACCACTTTTTGGTTTGTTTCAAACCAAATTATTTTGAATTATATAAAAAATTAACTTAAACTCACACTGTTACAAATAAAAGAAATGAATAAATAAAAATTGTTTAACTAAACCAGTGGCTTCTGCTGTGCTGCTTAATAATGTTCCTGAAAACCAGCACGGTTCACTGAAAGGCTCGGTCACAGTTTAACCAAACAACTCTATCAAACAAGTTCAATGTTTATTCTAGACAGAGGCCAGAGTCTGTTTTGATGGACAGATAATTAACTTATTAATCCCACACAGGAAATCTTAGCTTCTATACAGATAAATAAAATAACAAGAAGCAGAAGTGAGATATCATTTAAGTTACAGTACAAGCTATAAAAGTAGAAAAGTTAAAATAATAGTGCAAAACTAAAGAGGGAAAAAAGAACTATATCATATCCACTACGATGCACCGCAGTACTACGACGCACCGCAGTACTACGACGCACCGCAGTACTACGACGCACCGCAGTACTACGACGCACCGCAGTGCACTCAGGATGACCCACTGAGTAGGATGGATATTCCAAAGAGACTGGACATTAATATGCAAGTTCCTTTGGTACGTTTTAAAAAAAGGAAGAAAGTAATTGTCATATTCTCCTGTAACACAGACAGTATGGAGAACTAAAAGAATGGCAGGACATTGTCTTGAATTCTTCGGCTGAAACATGCAGAAGTCTCGATTCCTATTAAACTAATAATGACTCTGTTCTCACCTTCGGCCTTTTCCAGGTGATATCGCCGATATTATTGTTCAGGTAGAACAACGACTGGTCTGACGCAGGAAACAGAGGGTCCTCAAACAGACATCCGTTGTGCTGGCACTGCCTCTTCAGCGCAGAGTAACACTGGCCCTCGTATGGAATCACCATCTCCCTGAAACAGACAGAGATGGTTCATCTGGGCTTTGAATGAAGCAGCGCCCACTTTGATTCTCTTTCCCCATGAATCCTGGGAAAAGGCTGATCATTGTTCAGCTTTATCAATGGAGCTGTGTGTGTTTGACACAAACAATTCACAACCTAGTGAGCTGTAACAGAATCAGTTTCAAAATAAATATATATTATTACAGGGGTTATAACAGTCCAAATAAAACATTTCCAAGCTTTAAAGGCACAAAACAACAGTGTGCAGGTGTACAACATAGTATTTCAGGTGCACTTAAGGCCAAATCTGGGTTTTAACACTGTCACCCGATCGGAAATAGAGGGGGAAAAACTAAATCACTAAATCACTAAAGAAAAAGCCTCTTAGTTTATTTATCATTCGGGGGGAAAAGATTAAGAAATTAAGTTTTTACAAGATCATTCAAACCAGTCCTAGAGTATACAGTGGACAAGCTGCTCTGCCTCCAAAGCACACTTAGTGCACACATACTAGTAACAAGGATATCCTTCTCTTTTACTAACATTTAAAACATCTCCAAAACACAGATACACCTTTTTATGGCTATATTGGTGAGGACACTCACTGATATAATGCATTGGCCATCCCCTGACCATCACAACTAAATATCTACCCACCCCTAACACTAAACCTGATTATAAACCGGATCCTAAAACCACATCTGAACCCTCTGAAGGTGTCAGAGAGCGGACAAGCCAACTTTTCTCCTCCTATGGGATGCACTCAAAAGATCCTCACAATAATTACACACACACATACTCAAGACAGTAGAAGATACTGCCTTAAATAAACCAACCCTTCCAGCTATGTGACAGGATGACAAACAAACTCGGCCACAAGTGTTCGACTATGGATCACCAGCAAAGCAAAGCAAACACATGATGAAAGTTGCATGCCTCTGTGTACGTGGTCCTTATCAGACGAGTCCTACAACAGGTTCCAGTCTGCCAAACAATGAGGCACAAAGACAGAAAAAAGAAGCTCGGTGTGCGTCTTGTGCACGTCTTTCTATGGTCGTGTTGACACATTTCATTACTGTGACCAATCCTCACATGCTCAAAGGGCTGTTTGGGTATTAAAACTTTGTTTTAGGCATTAAGGTTAAGACTAGAATCAGGTTTAGATCAGGGTATTTATTGTTACAGTACCCGTAAACGTTTAAAGCATGGAGCTAGGAATGCATTACGTCAGGGAGCGTCTTCACAAAGTCAGAAGTAATGAGAAGCAACCTTGCAGTTGTGCCTCCGCCAGCCCGTAATCTTTACCTTCGACCACCAAAATCTAACCAGTTCATCCTCAAGTCCAAGTGGATACCTGTGCCAGATTTGAAGAAATTCCCTCAAGGTGTTTCTGAGAATGGGTCGAACAGGCAACCCTAGCACAATATGCCTTGGGCCATGGCTGTCGTCAGCGAGGAAGCATAAAAATGATGACTTGAAGAGTGACATGATACTATCTACCCAAAATGGCAGAAATCACCTTTGTGCTTGTGTAGAAGGTGTGCTGGTGTTATATTTGAAGACTAGTGGAAAGAAAGAGGAAGCACTTGAGCAGACAATACACTGATGACAGGAAAGCTGCATGGTCATAAAAGAAATGTGGAACCAGAGAGAGACTGTGGTCAGAAGAAAGCGGCAGGACCTTATTCACCACAAACAACCAGCATGACTGGGAGGTGACTCATGGTCAGGTGGGGGGGCAGACCCCGTGTGGTTTGTCGTGCTGATGCATTTAACCAAATGTTAAAGCTTACACTCAGGCGTCAGTTCTGTTACTGAAACCCATTTTCTGTATTCCTTGTATTTATATGGTCACAGTGTTCGAACTACTGCTCCTCAAAACAAAGATCACTTTGGTTTCTGTTTCACAGAGGAAGCTGCTACATGATTTTAATCTCCTGGCTAAATGACTGTGCTCTTTTTCACATTACTGAGTTTAATATGAATTTATTTAATTTAAAGATTCAATAATTAGTTATTCACTTGGGAGAAAAATTAATCAAGTAACTCTTACATGAAAAAGAAAAGCAATGAACACACATTTAAGAACCTTTAATTAACACATGTTTGAATATTTTACTTGGAAAAATAATAATAATCATCAATGACTGATTCTTGCAGTGCTAATTAACTATGGAAAATGATCACTAATTGTAGCTCTGAAGGCAGCGCTGCGAAAACCCAGCACTACCCCTGACCAGGTGTACTCTGTGGGGAATGAGGAGCAGATACTAGTTTATGAGGTATATGGTGGTGGAAGACGTACTCAGATCCCTCACTTAAGTAAAATTAGCAATACCACAGTGTACAAAAGTATTAGCATCAAAACATACTTAAGGTACCAACAGCACTAATTTTGCAGAATGGCACATTTAACATTAATATATATCATAGTGTTGAATTATAATGAAGCATCAGCACATTTAATGTTGCAGCTAGTAAAAGAGGAGCTCGTTTTAACTAACTTATGATTATAATTTAAAGTACTGCTGTGTCTTCTGACTTTTCCACTGAAGATCAATAAAATTTGATGATTTTATGATTATTTTTGTATTAATCTGGTTCTGAAAAGTAACTACTAGCTAAGGTTATAAAATAAAAGTAGTGGAGTAAAAAGTACAATATCTGCTTCTAAAATGTAGTGCAGTCAAAATATGAGGTAGAACAAGATGAAAATACTCAAGTAAAGCACAGATACCTAAAATGGTAGTTAAGTACAGTATTTGAGTAAATGTACTTAGTTACTTTCAACCACTAGAGGTATGTGGCACACAAGAAGAAACCAGGCCAAACCTGCCTGTGTGATGTCGTCTATTACCTCCCGCCTTTAAGTCCCACACGGCTCACATTTGATTTATTTTATGTGTGAATACACCGTTTCCTGATCTGAAAACTACTGACATTTAAGCGGCCACAAAAACGGATGAACGCCACTCAGACAAGGGTGTGGTTTCATGGGGCCCAGCAAAACATGCCACCCCGGATATGTGACAGTTGAACAACAGCCCACTGCAAAATGTTAAAATACCACTGTAACATATTTTGGCATTTCAAATTGTGCACGGCATCAACATAGTGAATTCTAACCACCTGTGTGACTGCAATAGTGAACATTAAGACACATTTTGTGAAAAGTTCAGATGCTTCTGGACGGTGTGAAGCCACCAAGATTAAGGCACAATTCACAGGGGAAATTAGGAAAATATACCTTCAAAATAAAAGTGACGTGTCTGTCAGGGAGAGGACAGAACTGTATCAAACTGGAAGCTTGTCCAGTGAGCACTGAGGGACTGATTTCATATGGGTAAACCTTAATTCCCTTATTTGATCATTCTTTGTTCCTCCCTTGCTCAACCCACAAGTCGTTCTGGTTTGCCATCCTGAAGGAGCCCAGAGCTTTGATTCCTGTTCTGAGGAGCAAGGAGGCTGCTGGCGCAGCCAGGAGCAAGGACACAAGGCACCAGCCTTCATGCAAGGTTTTTACAGACTGACACACCCTGTTAAGGGAATTGGTATTTGCCCCAGGTGTGTCACTATGGCTTCACCATGCACTGTTATAGTCAATTAAAATCATTTGCTGTGTTTCATAATCTGTGACTTGGAAGAAAAAATAAATCAAATGTTTTGAGATGCAAAATTAATGAATGAATTGATTAGTGACAAACTATTTTGAGAATCAAATTTATTGCAGTTACTTTCAACCTCTAGGGGCGACTGTGGTTCAGTGGGCCGAGCAGTCGTCTCCCAACCGGAAGATTGAGGATTGGGAGACGACTTGGAATCTCGGTGCCTGCAGTCCACTTGTCGAAGTGTCTTTGGACAAGACACTGAACCCCCCAAGTTGCCCCTGGGCTCCAAACAAAATTTCGTTGTACGTGTCACAATGACAATAAAGCTTCTTCTTCTCAAACAAAAAAAGAAGACATTTGCCAGTTAAAGCTTCTCTGCTGTGATGATTTGCAGCCTTTCTTTATCTGATATATGACTGTAATAAGAATGTTATTGAAGTTTGGATGATGGTCAAACAAAACTCATAATTTGAATGATTGATTTGAATGATCTTGGGCTATGGGAAATGACGGGGGGTGTAGACACGTTACTAGAACAAGCCGGTAGACAGACGGGTAGAAAGCCTCCCACTATACTGTTGAACCCCCAGACTAAAAAAGACACACAAAACAGCTACAAACTGTAACCTTTTGTGTGTCTATGTGGCTATTTTGTGCCTCTTTGTGGTCATGTGACTTCTATGACTTTTATACAAACACCAGAGCGCATGCAACCAAGGCAGCCCTACCGTGCCACAACTCTGATGAACACTTAACTCATGACTATACAACAGGAAAACTACCTTCAGTGCAATAACTTGCAAAAATACTTTTGAATACATCTGAAATACCTGC